GTGCCCACCTGAGCGCCGCCGGGCCAGGAATCCTCTCCTGAAGATTTCTCCCACCCAGGCCTGGAGCTCCGGGTCCTGCTGGACGGAGCCGTCGGACGGGTAATAGAGGGACAGCAGCGAGGTGACAAACCTGGGACAGTGGGGACAGCACCGAGGTGACAAACCTGGGACAGTGGGGACAGCACCGAGGTGACAAACCTGGGACACCGAGGGGACATTGGGGACATCAATGGGGACATTGGGGACATCAACAGGGTAATAGAGGGACAGCAGCGAGGTGACAAACCTGGGACAGTGGGGACATTGGGGACATCAACGGGGACATTGGGGACATCAACGGGGACAGTGGGGACACTGGGGACATCAACAGGGTAATAGAGGGACAGCACCGAGGTGACAAACCTGGGACAGTGGGGACATTGAGGGGACAAACCTGGGACAGTGGGGACAGCACCGAGGTGACAAACCTGGGACAGTGGGGACATCAACGGGGACATTGGGGACATCAACGGGGTAATAGAGGGACAGCACCGAGGTGACAAACCTGCGACAGTGGGGACATTGTGGGGAAAAACCTGGGACAGTGGGGACATCAACGGGGACATTGGGGACATTGGGGACATTGGGGACTCTGGGGACAGTGGGGACACTGGGGACATTGGGGACTCTGGGGGGATTTGGGGACATTGGGGACATCAACGGGGTAATAGAGGGACAGGAGAGGGGACACGAACCTGGGACTTTGGGGACGTAGGAGGTTGGGGACATTTGAGAGACACAGGGGTACAACAGGGCCACCACCCCCATGACAAATCTGGGGACACCGAGGGGACACCGAGGGGACACTGAGGACATTGAGGGGAAACTGAGGACATTGAGGAGACAATGAGGGTGGCACTGAGGACACTGAGGGTGGCACTGAGGACACTGAGGTGACACCGAGGGGACACTGAGAACATTGAGGTGACACCGAGGGGACACTGAGGACATTGAGGGGACACTGAAGGTGGCACTGAGGACACCGAGATGACACTGAGGGGACACTGGGGGGACACCAGGGGGACACCGAGGGGACACTGAGGACATTGAGGGGACACTGAGGGTGGCACTGAGGACACTGAGGACACTGAGGACATTGAGGAGACACTGAGGGTGGCACTGAGGACACTGAGGGTGGCACTGAGGACACCGAGGTGACACTGAGGACACTGAGGACTGCGAGGTGACACCGAGGGGACACCGAGGGGACACTGAGGGGACACTGAGGACATTGAAGGAACACCGAGGGTGGCACTGAGGACACCGAGGGGACACTGAGGACATTGAGGGGACACTGAGGGTGGCACTGAGGACACTGAGGGGACACCGAGGGGACACTGAGGACATTGAGGGGACACTGAGGGTGGCACTGAGGACACNTGAGGGGACACTGAGGGTGGCACTGAGGACACTGAGGGGACACCGAGGGGACACTGAGGACATTGAGGGGACACTGAGGGTGGCACTGAGGACACCGAGGTGACACTGAGGGGACACTGAGGACACCGAGGGTGGCACTGAGGACACTGAGGACTGCGAGGTGACACTGAGGGGACACCGAGGGGACACTGAGGACATTGAGGGGACACTGAGGGTGGCACTGAGGACACCGAGGTGACACTGAGAACATTGAAGGAACACTGAGGGTGGCACTGAGGACACTGAGGGTGGCACTGAGGACACCGAGATGACACTGAGGGGACACTGAGGACACTGAGGGGACACTGAGAACATTGAGGGGACACTGAGGGTGGCACTGAGGACACCGAGGTGACACTGAGGACATTGAGGAGACACCGAGGGTGGCACTGAGGACACTGAGGTGACACTGAGAACACCGAGGTGACACCGAGGTGACACTGAGAACATTGAAGGAACACCGAGGGTGGCACTGAGGACACCGAGGACACCGAGGTGACACCGGGGGGACACCGGGGGGACACTGAGGACATTGAGGGGACACTGAGGACACTGAGGTGACACTGAGGGGACACTGAGGACATTGAGGGGACACCGAGGGGACACTGAGAACATTGAAGGAACACCGAGGGTGGCACTGAGGACACTGAGGACACCGAGGACACCGAGAGGACACCGAGGTGACACCGGGGGGACACCGGGGGGACACGGGTGGCGCGGCGCGTCCCCGCTGTCCCCACCTGCGGATGGCCCGCCACACCTCGGTGGCGTCGCGGCCGAAGTGGTGGCGCTCGGTGGCCGCCACCCCGCGGTGCCGCAGGTCCCGCGGCAGCACCAGCGAGCGCCAGCGCAGCGCCCGCAGCCCCCGCGCCACCAGCGCCAGCAGCCCGCGCCGGCCCAGCGCCACCGCCTGCGGACAGCGAGGGGACATTGGGGACATTGGGGACAGAGAGGGGACACCCCTGGTCTCGAAATTCCCACCCAAATACACCCAAAATCCCCAAATTTACACCCAAAATCCCCAAATTTACACCCAAATCCCGCCCCATCACAGCCAGCAGCCCGCGCCGGCCCAGCGCCACCGCCTGGGGACAGCGAGGGGACATTGGGGACAGAGAGGGGACATCGAGGGGACACCCCTGGTCTCGAAATTCCCACCCGAATACACCCAAAATCCCCAAATTTACAACCAAAATCCCCAAATTTACACCCAAATCCCGCCCCATGACAGCCAGCAGCCCGCGCCGGCCCAGCGCCACCGCCTGCGGACATTGGGGACATTGGGGACAGAGAGGGGACACCCCCGCTCCCGAAATTCCCACCCGAATACACCCAAAATCCCCAAATTTACACCCAAAATCCCCAAATTTACACCCAAAATCCTGCAATTCCCACTCAAATCCCCCCCCATGACAGCCAGCAGCCCGCGCCGGCCCAGTGCCACTGCCTGGGGACAGCGAGGGGACATTGGGGACATCGAGGGGACATCGAGGGGACACCCCCGGTCTCGAAATTCCCACTCAAATACACCCAAAATCCCCAAATTTACACCCAAAATCCCCAAATTTACACCCAAAATCCCACAATTCCCACCCCAAATCCCCAATCCCACCCAAAATCCCCCAATCCCACCCAAAATCCCCAATCCCACCCAAAATCCCAAAATTCCCACCCAAAATCCCCCAATTCCCACCCAAAATCCCAAATTCCCACCCAAAATCCCAAAATTCCCACCCAAAATCCCCCAATTCCCACCCAAAATCCCCAATCCCACCCAAAATCCCCAATTCCCACCCAAAATCCCAAAACTCCCACCCAAAATCCCCAATCCCACCCAAAATCCCCAATCCCACCCAAAATCCCCAATCCCGCCATCCCCCCCATTTCCAAACGCCCGGATCCCTCTGGGAACCCTCCCGGACCCCTCCCCCCTTTTACCGACCCCAGTGAAGCCCCCAGACCCACCCCGTGCCCCCCGGTGCCCCC